ACACACACACACACACACACACACACACACACACACACACACACACACACAAAGAGACCCATTCAATCACCAACACACACGTTATATCCAAACCCCACCTCGCCTCCACGCCCCCACCCCTCCCCTAAAATATACGAACATGCACAAACAGACCCAATCATCCGCCTACACACATTGCACATGAACATACAGTAATATATATAAATGTCCCCCTCCCCCTCCATGCTCTACCCCCCTCCTTTCCCCCTTCCCAAATCTCACAGAAGAACCGACCCTGCCAAAAGTGCCAATCTGAGATAGTCGGGTGAGACAAGAGAGGCGAAGAAGACCCTTGCTATTCTTCCATCAAACTCATCCCACTCGCCATAGACAGGCGCCTATCTCTCCAAGCCTCTCATAACATAGACACACAGGAAATCATTCACTAATTACAAAACCGTCCGTCCTCCATTCAATCTCCATTTAGATAAGCCTGAAGCAGCCAGAGCATCACTTCGGGGTTGGGCTAACGGTTAAATAGGGATCTGTGGATAAACATCAACCGCTCCTTCTCGTAGACGTCATTTCTTGTCATCCTCTCGAGAAAGCAGATCTTTATAATTGTTATCTTAGCTTCTCTTGTCTCGTGTTCCTGAGTTCTTGCTGCCAATCTCACCCACGCTTTGTTTCGCAACAACCCCTGGCTTGCTCACGCGCACAAGGGCAGGACGGGAAAATGAATTCATTTGTGGGGATGGGTAGGGGGGGGGGGGGGGGGGGGGGGGAGATGGAGGGGTTGGTGAGATAATAGAGGTATTCGGGCTGTTTAGACATTAAAGATGACGTGGAGTGGGAGAGAGAAATGGATTATTCTATCTATCTATCTCTATCTATCTCTCTATCTATCTCTTTGTCTATCTATCTATCTATCTATCTATCTATCTATCTCTATCTATCTCTCTATCTATCTCTCTATCTATCTATCTATCTATCTATCTCCCTATCTATCTATCTATCTATCTATCTATCTATCTATCTATCTATCTATCTATCTATCTATCTATCTATCTACAAGACATATCACAGTCTAGTCTATTTGTTAGAACAAAGCCACATTGTCCACATCAACTCTGTGAGAAAGCTCCGTCCGGTCCTTAGACAAGGTTCCAAGATGTGTTGTTGTGGCGTCTAGAACTAACTTCTCACCTCGCGGCAGATTTTCCCCATTCTGTTTTCTTTATTTATTTATCTGAAACTTGGAACAACCAACAACATGCGTGCTATGATATATATATATA